TTTCTGTTTTTCTTTGTCAGATACAGTTTCTGGCTGATTTTCTTATAATGACTACTACCATAAGACTTCGTCAAAAAAATATTCCGACAGGCTTCTACGTTCGTATGCTGCAGGGTGCTGATATTGCATTCATACCATCACAGCAGCTGACGGCACCTGTACTTGCAGCTAAAGAAAAAAATTGATGACGCATCAATTAAAAAATGAAATAAGAAGAAAGATTTACGAAGCTGTGTGTTCGTTTCATGGGTGGTTGCGCAGCAGAAAGGTAAATACTGGGTGAGTCAGATTAAATTGCCGGTTTTTATAAATCATCTTGCGGGATGACCTTCAAATTTATTCAGAAACCAATTATAGCACCTGATATAGTAAATGAAGCGCTACATTTTCAATAAAAAAAATTACTTAATATATTGTTCCTTGGTTTTCAAAACTGAGAGAATACGTCGTGACCAATAATCAACACTGCTCGCTAGTCCATTTTTCGAGACAAGTGGCACGGTTCGTTCAATTTCATCTTGCAATGATTGATAGTCATTGACCTTGTTTCATCTTATAAGTTGATTGACAGGATCCCAAACATAATAATCTAGGATATTAAGATCAGGACTGTTTCCAGGCTACCTGTTCTTGTCAAAAAAAATCATAAAAATTCTGATTGCACCATGTTTGCGACCTATTAGATTTATGAGGAGTAGCATTATCTTGTTGAAAGATAAAATTTTTCCCAATCAAATGCTGTCCCTCTGACAATGCAAATGGTAAAATGTGCTCGACATAATTTACCTGTGTAAGTGTTTCACGTGGTTTGAAAATAATTGGCGCTGTAACACCTGCATATGAAGCACCTAACCACAACATGAGTTGACCAGGATATTTTGATTCTTAATGGATTCCCCTAGCTTCGTCCGCCTCTGCGCGACTTGCGGCATAGACCCTTTCATTCTGACGATTATAAATGCCATCCAGGGTAAAATACTTTTCATCACTGAACAGGATTTTACGAATATCGGCCTTCGTCAAAGTTCGGCGAATCCAGTATGCAAAGGTAACTCGAGTCATGTTTTTTGTTCGGACAGTTCGTGGGGGACTAGATAGTTTTTTAAGATCCAGATATTTAGTATAAATAGTTTTTCCTGTCTTCAAGTACATCACCTTCCAATTGGGAACAGTTCGTTCGCTAACCGTGTTACACAAATCTTTCGAGATTTCTGCAGGTGATTTGCCCTGCTCAAGTTTGAGCAAAACCACTTTTTGTAGATCTAGAGATTTCATCGTGTATCTGAAAAGTAGACAATCATAAAATGTTGTTTTATCATAGGAATGATGAATTCTATCGATATATATAAAATTAACAATTTTATTTCATCCATCTTTATATATTTTTGACAAACAAAACAAACCGGCAAATTTAATCTGACTCACCCGATATAACAGTCAGGCAATACCGTTTTTCGAAGAGAAGAGGGTTAAATGGGCGATATCGACAGTGTGACTATTTAGTCAATTATTTCCAATTAAATAATAATTTTCTGGTAAAGGGCGCGATTCGTCGTGCAAACCAACTGCAGTTTGCACTGAAAAGAGGAAAAAAATTGCAACATTTGATGAAAACAATATCCGTGATGAAACTGATTACGAGTATATGTTGAAAATTCGGCTTTTAGCTGGTTGGCAAAAATGGGGTCTGAGCGAGTGACTGAAGTGAGATGCATCTGTGTGGTGAACGCATGGGTATACGGAAAAACATCTATATGGTGAGTGAACCTCTATCTCTGAATATGACAGTATTGACGATTTAGTAAACTTTCTACTTCATCGTAAAAATTAACTGCATCATTCATAACAACTATACATTCATAGAACTATTCGTCCTAATCAACTTCAGATAAGTAACATTTTTCTTAACCTAAATATGGTTCTTTGTGCATGATTTGTTTATGTATATGCTGTAAAAGTTATTGCACAACAACCACAAGTATTTACGAACTAATATTTATTTTGTTTTATTACTCCAACATGAATGTTTTTTATATAGGCTTTGATCCTGTTCGTTTTTTACGTGACTAATTTTCATTCAATAAACTGAATTTCAAAAATAACTTCGTGTGTATTACGCAATGGGTAAAGTTTACTATCTACATTTGCCTTTTCGAAAGACACTAAAGGCTACATCCGTTTTTTCCTGTTGAACCACGATCACCAATTTAGCGATCGCGAAGCTACTAATTATTTTTAAGACTCTATGCTTCGCATGTGGCAGAGTAATGTTCTAGGACTGCTTAAAACAACTCTCTTCTCGAATTTTCTAAAGGTGTGCTATAGTAAAAACTGATTTCGCATTCAAGAAACAATTTAATTCTTCTCCCCTTTTAAAAGTTACGTCGAAATATTAATTCTTGATTCTTTGTTTAAGGTGAAAAATTTTATGACAGAATTCAAGATTAAAACCATCTTTTTGCATATTAATTCTTTTCAGATAACTTCTACATAAAAAATTCTTTCATTTCACTATGCATCAAAATCCTGATTCTGTCTTCATCGATCACGTATGTGATCAAACTGTAGTAGGAAGTAATTGTTTTCTTTTTAACTGTCCAAGACTCAATCTGACGCAACCGATCACGGTTGTAGATGTTCAGTTTCACGACAGACTGTTATCTTCACATTGGTGGGATGTGATCGAAACACGAGGTCCTCTTTTACAACAATTTTTGGGAATAATTAACATCCACCGGCCTTGTATGTGGAATTCTACTCCGAATTGCCCCCTGGGGAGGCGTGTTAAGTTGTATGAAGCTTACGGAATACACCCAACATATACGTATGATCCACCCATGAGACATACTGGTTGGCGGAACAATTTTTCGAAGTTGAGACATATACTCCAAAGTAGGTAAGTTGTAGCTGTGGGTGACTGCGGTGTTGACTCTACGGTTTCTGTTACAAATCAAACCGAGACTTTTATTACACAGATCAACCTTGCTCGAGAATTTTATAAGCCAATTATTCTCCATTTTCGCGAGAATACGTCCCATTCCGAAATGTAGCATATTACGGTATCAGTTTCGGCAGCGGAAAGAGTTTCCAGAAATTCTGGAATCAATTCAAGTATGTACTGACATAGTGCAACCATCAACGGCATACAACTTATTCTCTGGCGGAGTTCCCGGAATTAGTATAAACTTTTTATTTGTTTGAAAGAAGGAAAATAGTAATATACTGAGCAAAATCACAGTCAATGATTGCATTATATCGCTCAATATACCATCTTTGTAAAAGAGACAGATAAAGGAAAAACAAACAAAGAAAGAAGAAAGAAAGAAGACAGATGTAACTACATCAAACAGATGTAACTACATCCCGGAATTCCTACAGTGCGGAATCGCTAGTAATAACAAGCAGTTATTCCGAGGAATTCCGGAATTCCTTCAAGCCTCGCTTTATATAGAGAAATCATCAGTGGCATACCAATGCAGAATTACTAGGGATTTCTGGAATTTCAGGAGTTACTTGAAGTATTTTTCACTATATGTATGACGAATGGCACGCAACTTCATTTTATGCTGGAATTCCCAGAATGCCTCCAATGCGCAATCACTGGTAACAACAACGAATTCCCAGTTATTCCGAGGAATTCCGGAATTACTTAAAGCATCAATTGATATAGTTTAGTCATCAGCGGCATACAACTTATTCTCTGGCGAAATTCGCGGAATTCCTTCAATAGGGAATTACTAGGATTTTCTGGGAATTCTGGAATTACTTGAATATCTATGGCTATATGTAATGATGAACGGCACACAGCTTCGTTGTATGCCGGAATTCCCAGAATTCGTTCAAAGCGGAATTACTGGGAATTACCAGGAATGCTAGGAAATCCAAGATTATTTCAAGTGTCTATTGATATAGTATAATCATCAACACCCTACAACACCCCAAAAGTACTTCAAGTATCCATTGATAGGATGTGATCATCAACATGTTTCAACTTATTCACTGGTGGCCTTCCCGGAATTCCATCAATGCGAAATACCAGAAATCACCTTAAATTCCGAGTTATTTCTAGAAATTCCGGAATTACTTCAAGTATCCATTGATACAATGTGATCATCAACATCGTACAACTTATTTCCTGACGGAATTCTCGGAATTTCAAGAATGCGGAATTACTAGTAATCAGCAGGAATTCCGGAAGTACTTGAACTATCCATTGATATACTGTGATTATCAGTGGAATAGAACTTATTCTTTGACGGAATTCCCGGAATTTGGTCAACGGGGAATTACTAGGAATCACCAGGAGTTCGCAGTTATTTCTAGTAATTCCGGAATTACGTAAACTGTCTATGGGCGCGTTGTACTCGTGAATGGGATTCAACTTGTTCTGAGGCGAAATTCCCGGAATTCGGTCAATGGAGAATTGATAGGAATCACCGGCAATTCCGGATTATTCCTGGGAATTGCCGAATTACTTCAACTGTCTATGGACGTGCAGTAGTGGTCAATGGGATACAAGTTCTTCTGTGGCGGAATTACCGGAATTCCTTCAATGCGGTATTACTAGCAATCAGTAGGAATTGTTAGTTATTGCTAGGAATTCCTCAATTGCCTCAAGTTTGAATTAATACACTATAATCCTCAGTCTAACAGAACTTATTCTCTGGTGAAGGTGAGGATGATTCCCGGCATTCCAAGAATGCGGCATTATTAGTAACCACCAGGAATTCTTAGTTATTCCTAGGATTTCCGGAAGTAGTTCAATTATGCCTTGATGTAATGCAATCATCAACGGAATACAACTTATTCTATACCCAAATTCTCTGAATTCCGTCAATGGGAAATTACTAGGAATCACGAGGAATTCTTAGTTGTTCCTAGGAATTCCTGAATTACTTCAAGCATCTATTGATATAGTGTAATCATTAAGGCCATACACTTATTCTCTGGCGAAATTCTCGGAATTCCGATAATGCGGAATTGCGGAAAGAAATTTAGACATGGAAGTTAACAGCTTCATATGTGAGAATGTATCATCAATGTTACAATTTCCATCTGTAGTTATGACCATCACTGATTTGGCACGTAGTTCTGGTCACACGTTGGAAAAGCAGCGTGATCCAATAATTTGTAATTTAGTTATTGACGGCGTTTTGAAAAAGGACAATTTTTTTGTATCAATGAATAATTTCAAAAAAATACGGTTGTGGCCCGGATACGCCAAATTACTTCCTGAGGAGGAGGATGAGGAATCACGATTAAAATTTCGTGAAATATTGGGCAAATATGGTTTGGATTTGAGCACATACGAGTCCTTTTTTTCTAGTATTGGATCATGTAAGTCTGCCGCCTTTACTTTTGAATGATTTTGTTAAGCTGCGCGTTTTATTCAGGCTTGTCAAGAAGTACGAGGTTCATGTTTAGTGAGTCAACTGCTGAATTAATGAAAATGGATTGTTACAGACATTTGAAATATGATGATAACCAAATTTTGTATCCTTATGGTGTTACGGTTATAGAACATGCTGCCGAGCTACAAGCCGGAATAAATGTGACAGGTGCTAGACGAGCCACGGAGTTGCAATATGTTATTATACTTGCATTCTTGCCTTTTAGGTATTGATACATTTGAATAGAGAGATAAAAGACATAACGACGACGGCATGCTCAATTTTCATGCGTTTTGTGTGTCAAGTATTTTCAATTAGTTTATTCACGGGATACATATCTTTCCATATCTCCAAAAACATACATGGAGGTGTCAAATTCAGCATATAATAGAGAATTCCCAATCGATCCTAACCTGACCTAGATGGTGACCTAAACTCGTCAGAAAATAACCGAGAATTCGCAAACGCATCATATACACCAATATTACATATATCATATATATCAAGCTATGCTCAACTTGCCAACTTCGCAACTTTTCAATACTCCAGTACTCCCTGAAATATATAATATTCACCTTTGCAACTTTTCAGTTCTCTGAATGCTGCTATCCTGTGAATCTTGTTATATCGGTTTCATGCGTTGGTACGCCTTTGATCCGACTCCGCGGCGAACCGAAAGTCTCCATGTTGTCCTGAATCGCTTCCACTCACGTTATCCATTCCATTGGCTGTAAGTCTTGTAAGTCGAAGACACACTTTCTGTGCGTATATGTGTTTGTTCGGACAGAGGTGTGACAGACGTACATACATATAGTGACTAGTGAATGTGTCGGATGTACATACGCACATTCACTAATGGGTGTCACGGACATATGGGCAGATCTGTTCGGGTTGTGTGTGGATGGAGAGAAATATTGATAACGCATTGCAGATAGTCTCTACCAAACACCGGCCGAAGGGAGGTGAAAGCGTTGTTCTCAATAACGAGGCCAAACGTTGCCGGGGCGAAACGTAGAGGGGCCAAATTGAGTAAATAACGCTATGACGCTGTCAAACTATCCAGAGTCACATAACTCCTGAACTCATGCTGACTTGACTCATATTCCAGACTTGGCTCCGAAACACGTACTCAGTCTTAAAAACTTTTCCGACCGGTGAAAAGCTATAGCAACTGCTTCTGTAACCTGAGCTAGAAAATATGGACGTTGTCATGGACTGAGTGAATCGATGCAATTCACCTTATTTATTTTTATAATAAAATAATACTGATTGTTGAGCTGTTACAAATACTTGTATTATTAATTCAAAAATTTTCAACTGCAGATACATGTCACAGGTACCGAACCATGAAAAACTTGACATTTTGAAAATATCGTATGCTAGAAAAATGAAATTCTATAGTGTTCAAGTAGAACTCCGAACATTCTAATCGAATTAAGGCAATCTGAGTTTACTTGAAGCTGTTATCTGCAGTTTAAAGAAAGAATCTCCTATATGTCTGTAATATATGATATAGATTAGATTATTGTAAAGAAAATTTCTTTGTGTAGATTCATAATAGGTCGAACGCCGGAAAAAGCAGTGAAGATGTAATATAAACGGTAGAATTAAGTAAAGAGAAGGGATAGGTTTCACAAAATAAATTCGATCTAAATTCTTAAAATTATATAAGGACTATTATCTCGTTAAATTTCTCGCGTTCTGCGCAAAATTCGCGGTTGTGCTCGGAGACAGTTCGCTTGAGTTCGCGATAAGATGGTGACTAAATTTGCTTGTTTCGCCGCACGATCGCTGTTGGAATCGACTGTTTCGCGACAGAATCGTGTTCAAATTGCTTATACCGCGACAGGATCAGCTTCACAGCAAACCATTTCGGGATGATGGATCTGAGCGCGATTGAGTTGAGATTCATTTAGTTCACTAGTGAGCACCATAACATGGATTTAATGCATGTTCAGCGTGAATAAAATATCAAGAATGCGTTAATCAACTGAGTCGATGCACGATAGAAACTA